CAAAGAACTGTATTTACAATTTAAAAAAAAATTATTGTTTTGACTTTATATATAATTATACCTTACCGAATAAAACGAATACACTCAAATTAATGATGAACTAAGCCGCCTGTTCGTTAACATATTAATATATGATGTCCTGGAACCTATTATACCGAGAGATAATTTAATATTCTCATATAGAAGTGTACATGAACTTGAAACCATTTTATTTAATACATCTTGCAGAATGCCTTTCATTAACAATTGTCAAACAAATAAGACATTTTTAAAACGTTCTATTATGTTTTAAAGTAGTTCAATATTGTTAGTTGAAATTACATTTCCCATGATTGTTTAAAGTTAGAAATGTTATTTTGTTTTATTATAGTATACAGTAATACCAAAAATATTACAGTTAGAAACAAGAAAGAATCTTATTCACTAATTTCATTAAAGTTAAAATAGTTTTAAGACAATTTTTCAACTATCAACAAACGTAATTGACGATGACCATAACTTTTTATTGAAAAAGAGAAAAACAAATAAACTATTCACCCCCCCCCACAAAAAAAATAGAATTGATATCAACACACTGGTATTCCTGAGATAACATGGTGATTTAACAGATAGTAAAAATCAATATTAGACGAAATTCTCACTTCATGATGTTTTTTTATAGATTTATGAACTAAGGTGGAATGAATTTTAATCGATCATTGTGCTAATTATGACGATTGTCAGTATATATCCATGTAAGGGGGCATGAATGTTGCTACTGTTATAAATATAACAGTATCATTTTTAATAATTACGTTTGTTCATAGTTATAGACAGTCTTTAAAGTATAATATATATGGTCTTAACACAATAACTGAAGCTCTGTTGATAACGATAACAGTAATACATTACATGGTCCCAAAATGACATTGAATATATGGGTTTTAGGATTTTTGGTAAGATAATTCAAGGTCACTTAATTGGCATTTAAAGGCCCAAGATTTCATTTTACTTAAGTTAGTTTGTGGTAGTGGGATGATCAAATCTAGTCATCTATAAGTCATTTTAACAATCGCGTTATTAGTGAACTCAGTAACCTTATTTACTGAAGTGTTTGCGAAAAGATTCGGTGGTTTAGGTGATTTTCATAAGCTGAATCATAACACAAACTATGAAAATCCATATAGTTAAGTAAACACATGTTGTAAACAAGTAATATAGACTAAGAAACATTTTCGCATATGTTTGTTTTAAATAATGTCGAAAACTCCAAATTAGGAAGTTAATAATAGTCAAGATTATGCAAATAAAAGCTATTTTTAAAAAGTGTTCAATCATACAAACTTGACTGTGAAAAACAAACAATTCACATTCTAAGCGAGTAAATACACTGGTGTAATCAGCAATCGATCTTCATCATCACTGTCAGATTAGGTGATAATAAAATTAAGCGTAATTCATAGTTGTGTTACATGTAAGATCTTTTGCATTTTGACTCTGATCATCTTTCTAGTACTAATAGTTTAATCGATTCATGAACAGCTAAAATTTTACTCACCTTGTTATCACCGAACATTTTACAACCAGAAAAGAATATGCTTAGTTATGAAGATTAAAATAACGGATTTTATTAACCTGTCTAGCTTTAACCATTATTTTTTTTAAAAACATTCAAGCATAGAAGATTATGATGTATAGAATAATAAAATAGAGTAGTTATAGTATTAAATAACAAACAAACCTTGGAAAAGACTAAAAATCAACTACGTGAAATATGTTATAGATAGATAGATAGGTCTAAACGTAATAAAAAAATAAATTAAAATGTTGGCAGTTCCAACATGGAAATCCATTGAATGTATCATAAGAGTCTTGAATAGTTTTGAAGAATCAACACTGAATGTAAACAAAAGAGAAAGCTTTCATGGTCAGCCAATAATGAATAAGATTATTAATTTATGATTTTAAACAAATTGAACAATCAGTACAATATGATATACAAAACTTAATTGTTCAGCGTCAGTATTCTATCAAGGGACTTATACGAAACAGAAAAGGAAGTTGATGATTTTAACAATAATAATAATGAAGAAGAAACAACAAGAGTTTGTAAATAATAATATGTATATATGATAGGTGAACGCAGTCGATGAATGATTAGGGTGCATTCTTTGAACAAAACTAATCACCTCAAATCTATACCATCAAATACTAATGAGTTGTGCGGTATTTCATTTTTTTATTTTAACTTTATGCACATTAGCCTCTGATGAAAGTTTCCAGAATCAAAACTAAGATGTTTTGATCCTTCATTTACAATTCGGCTTAAAATCCTACAGCTTAGTATATTATACTATCGTCCATACATTTTCACCGGACAGTAGAAAATTCGTGAGAACTCACAATAGTTTTAAACAAGTAAATGTCATCGCCGTGGTTTGACTTGATAATTTCAAATAGATAAACATTGGGTGGTTTGTTTACAACTGAGGTAGATGGATAAATAAACAGGGAACCACAACGGTAGAGAAAACCTTGAACTAAGATTAATCTTGTTTTTGTAAATTTTTATGAATTTTTAAGAGACGACTATGTAAAACTAGACAAAAATGAGTTAGTAAAAAGTAATGAATTGCCAACAGAAATAACAAATAGCTTTATAATCACTTCCGTCTTCTATCACTACGAACTGTGATACTAAAGACAATTAGTGTCTAAGATTGAAGGGAAGTTATGTATAACTACTGTGATAGTGAATACTTGTGTCTATTTTTGGCTATTTATGTAATTTTGGAAATGATTTTCAGACTTCCGATTAAGATCGGAAAAATCATTGATAAGTATGGATCACTGAATAATTACTTTGTTTTATCTCAAAACTTCTTAGTCGATTTGACAACAGACCTCATACAAGACCAGACTTATAGTATTCAAGTTTCCAGACATGTATGATAACATTTAACCAATTTCACAATGAACCCACCGAACTTCTAATGAAAGTACATTAACATGTAAAGTCAAAGACGTCAAAAATGAGATCATAACTTGCGGAAAACAGAAGTTGAGGACTGCATACCATTGGGTTTCAAATCAATGAATTAAAGGTATTGTTCTCCTCAGAAACGACTTAGGCATGCTAGGCCTAATTCAAAAGAGAGTCACAGGTATAAAATTGTATGGCCTCCATAACTAAGACCTATTGCACAATCGTTTTGGTTGGTGATAATTTATTCACATCGTAAGATCTTACAGCATAATTATTGCTATTATCACATCACTTTACTGTAATCGATAGAGTTATAATAAAAGTGAAGATTTTTGTCTAGCTATACAAATTTTTTAGGCTCTTATGTCATCACTTGCAAAAAATTATTTTTTAAGAACGAATGTAAATAAATAAATAAATCCAGTCACTTTTAGGCAGATTATCGAAAGATATAAAATGTTCTATTGATATCATTTTTATAAAGCTAATATTTATGTGTGTGGGGGTATCAATAATACTACGAATACTGGTGTTGCTTACTTTAAAAGCACTTGTTGTAAACCATCAGTCAAATTACATCACTACATAACCATAAACAAAAGACTATAATCAAAACATCTCTAATACAAATAACAGTCTGCTGTATAGCATAAAAAGATTTATACCTTTGAAAATATAAGGTAACAAAAAACATCTATTGGTTCATACCACTCAAAGCATAAAGATCATCACTATGTGTAAATGTATATTAAGGCAGCAACTTTTGCTGATGGAAGTATAGTATTGAAATGTTTGATGAACGAATACTCGAACACACTCAAATATGTTGCAAGTAATTATTCACTTCATTTGAAATATAAACCTAAACATAAATCAATTGGAAGCAGTTCAATGTGCGATGAAATAAAGGTTGTTAGCGTATTAATCGTTTTAAACCTTATTTATTGAACTCACTATGGTCAACACTAATATATGTAAAAGAGGAAGGATTTTTTGCCAAAGTTTTAAAGTGGCACTCACTACAAACTGATATCAACTTATGAAATTATTCTATAGTTGTTTTCAGAATTATGAAGTGTTTATGAGTATTGAACTGTTAAGAGTCAAATTAAGACAAATAAAGATTATGGAATATAGAACAGTTTCAAATTGTCACCTTTGAACACTTAAAATTAACTACATATCTTACGTACTTTGAATAGGAGTTTCATCACAGTTGATCATTAAGAACTAGGAATTACTGGTCAGCTGCTTTATCCAATTTCGGGAATTCATATTTGTGCCCAATCGAACCCGAAACGTTTAAGATATTTTATAGGCACGATGATATTCAGGGAACGACAAATCAGTGTAAATTGTAGATTAGGTTTTTTAGACCATTGAAAACAATCAAAAACGAAGAGAGCTATTCAAAACATCCAAGTTTCGTGAAGAAACTTAAAAACAATATTTGTTATATACTATCCATAGAAGCGTAATGTTTGCAATTAACGATTTCTTTCTGCCTAGGTTAAGCAACAATCGATCAGTTCGATTGTAAAGCAATAATTGCAAATTTTGTGTAATTTGTTCGTCATATTAGCCTAGGTTCTTTATAGATTACGTAAACACTTAAAGGTATGTTCAACAAGATGTTTTGAAATGATAATTATTATAAAATCATAATAGTCAAATTTATGGATGAAACGCGATCAGTTTAAGATTTGCTCATTCATAAAGAGGAATTATGAGATTCAACCAAGTTGATCTAACCATCACATACATAAAAATCTATGAACAGTATTATGAGTCATTACCTCTGATATTACTGTCACACAACTCCTAGTTCAATTACAAGGCCGGTATTATCTCAGATACACTTATTACAATATAGCTCAAAATGGTCAATATAAATTTAAATTGAAGCTTGCTACTACATGACTGATAATTAATAACATTCATTTTTAGGTTAAATCTTTACGATTAATTGTAATTAAATAGTTCCATTTTTTATTAATAAGCAGATAAATGAATTGAACACTGTCATAAAACTTACAGATTTTTTCGATGAACTATTTTGTTTCTTGTATTCCTCGTCATTAAAATTAACTGGATGATACACAAACAGCTTGTCATTAATCTGTTTATTTTCAAGTCCTAAATGTTTATTTAAATCGCTTAAAGTTTGACAATGATAAGTTGCGATTTGTTTAAAATTTAAGTTTTCTGAAGTTTCTTCTCCTGGTAATTGAACTGAATTGTTGGAGACTGATGTACAAGTCGAATATGTAAGTGGTGAAGATAAAGGTGATAATAATGACGATGAGGATGATGAAGAAGAAGAGGAGGACAAATAGTTGGTGGAACAGAATAGAGGTAATGAACATGAATCAGAAGATAATGATGATATGGATTCAAGTACACAATTAGTTGGATAAACTTGAAAGGAAGAATCTGAATATGTTACCTCTGCCAGTTGTTGACAATCTACCTTTGTATGCGATAAAAGATGGCTCAAAAATCTGTTTGTTTTACAATTAGAAGGACTTTTAATTTTATTATCATTCAGTGTGCAGTTCTGTAATTTTGATTGCCCTAATTTTGTTGAGTCATAATAATGATTACAATGTTCAGTGCTGAATGATGTATTATTGAATTGTTTTATCAACGGCGAATCTATGAAAGATTTCTCACCACATTCAGAACAATTAATTATAGTCTTCAAATATTTTGATCCTTTAGTGACAATTTTCTCTGAAAATATGTCTATACTAAAATTTACTAGGTTTTTTAATTTATTATCAATATCTTTTTCTAGATGTTTTATTACTGTTTGTAACTGTTCCATAAATAATTTGATCAATTCAAAATGTCTTGAACAAATTTGTTTATCATTTAATAAAAAACCCATTAGATTACAAGTACGTATAATTTTCATTAATCCAAACTTTGTATTTTCAGAATAATTGGAACAGAACTTAATGTCTCTTAATGAGTCTTGTTCACAGTTCATGATACTTGTTGGATAATTTGAATTTACTGTTTTCGAATTTTTGGAATTACTAATATTATCAGTATGACTATTGTTACGCATATTACAACCATAATTACTTCCATTATTACTTTTAGCAATAAGTCTTGATAGTAAATGAATTGAATTTGACCCACATTGTCTTGGATTGAAAAGCTTTTTATGATGATGTAAAGGATTTCTACAATACTGATATGTTTGTTGTGTTGCTTTCCACCTAGTGCAATATAAGTATAGTGAATTTATTATAGCCATAATTCTTTTTATTTGTTTTACGACTATTTATCTATTTTCGCGTTTTTCCTAGACTTGATAAAAAAAAAGCAGACGCATAACTTTTTTAAACTACCATTTATATTTATCCTTGTTTCAGTACATGTCTTAGTGAATTCTGATTGTTTTTCAACAACCTCAAGGAGGTCATAACGCTTGTGATTTGTTCATTCGACTTATCTATAATTTGATTGGTTGTTTGAAAGCCCAACAATAAATACATAGTTTAAAATAACCAATTAAAAAATACACGTGATGGCACAAGCTAATCTGAGCTATAATTTTTATGCAGACGTGTTTTCGGCAACTATAAACTACATTCGTTACATGTAATGACAAGCGTATATAAGATTCTAGCTAACTGGAAGTAAATTAGTTTCTTTAATTAACTAGCAGCGATCCATGATATAGACGTTCATTAATAGTTGAAACATGAAACCTAAGAGGAGACATGCATTATCTGTGGGAGCGAGTTGATTAAGTAGTTATCACCTAAGTGTTTATAGCTTTGATTGCTTGACACTCATCTCTTCAACATTTAAGTTAAGTTTTTTCGTCAAATATCTTCCTAGTGGTTTGAATTTCTTAGTTGATAATTCCATATGTCTATTAGGCTTGGGTTCGTACTGATTGATTGTGAACCATCTCAAAAGTTTTTGACAACGATGATGACAATTTTGAAGCTTATGATTATGTTTGAATAATATAACTTTCGCAGGATTAAAAATTCTGCTGAGCACTGTTTAACTACAATTTAGCTTGAATTTATTAGTATAGTAGTAAACAATGCTATTCTCATTTATATGGGTGACAGAATGATCATTTAAAATGAGGAATGAAGTTAAAATTAGTCCAGTAAAGTTAATGATTTTCTCAAACCCAGTGATGGGGTGGTTTCGATCATAAAAATATGTCTGGATTTACATTATAACCATGGAGCACTTTGTTATACAAACATAGTGTGTCTTAATGTACATCATCTTGAATGAATCTTTAATGAAAGGTTTAGGGTGATATTTAAATGCTAGGAAATGCATAAGGTATGTATCTATGAGTCAAAAAGTTACTTATACAGTTAAAAAGTTGCATTTTACTAATTAAAAATGCACTTCAAAGTTTTAATTTGTGAAAGCTAATGATAGTTATTTACGTTTAGTGAAAGAATTAGGAATTAAACTTATCATCCTTTAGTTAACAGGGTCTTGGAACTAGTCTGCTAGTAGAAGAAAATGAGATTCAGGTTTTATGCATATGACCTTTCTAATGTGTACGCATTCCATAAATTTTAAGCTGAAAAAAATGATATCTGTCTAGCGTAATGTCACATGCATCATACAAAAATGTGTATGTTTTATTTCAGCTTCATAGTTTCACTACATTAACATCTGTTTAGACATACTATGTTTTCCCAAGTATACTGCACTTTAGACGCTTTCTGTCCCGGCATTGCTTATATGATTTTAAGTTTTATGTTGCAATTAGTGAATGTATGTCATAAATTTACGTGTGCGACATTATGCTCTATTATACCTTTCTAAAGTTTTTTACCATTTAAATAAACTGACGTGTTCTATGACGTGGTTGAAAAGAAGAATGTGAAAGTTGTAAATTACCATTATCTGAATAAACAAATGTTTTCAAGAATAGTTTCATAGTTCTAAATTCATTGCTTTGTATCAAATTCAGTATCATGGGAGGACATCATCGTATTTAACCGTCTACACTCTTAGTAGCAAAGCAACCTAAATCTACTTAAATATTATTTAATAATGCTTACCTATAGGTATTAGAAAAACTACTTGTCTGGACTTTTACATGATTCGTAACTTGGCCTTGTATGCGCAATTACGTTAACCTGATACCAGTTTTCTCAGGTGAAATAAGACCAAAGTCTAACACAAATGCGTGCTGAGATATATTATTGATAAATCATAAAGTGAATAAATAAAGCTCAATGGTACAGCATTAACTGTTAATGATGTAAGTTGTATATAAAGTAAAATAATTGGTATTGAGAAAGCGAACAGAAGATTTCTTACGAGTTATAAGTATTGGAATGGATTATAAATAAATAATATATTTGTAATATCCCTATGAGTAGAAAATTAGATTTTCTGACGTTTCGTGGCTTAGTGTAAGTCACTTCTTCAGAGAATAAATAACCAAATTTGGTTATTACAAATATATTATTTATTTATAACAATCAACCCAATGCTCAATTTATTCGAAATTATCAAATCAAACCTTGGTAATGATACCTACAATTGGAATGGATTGTTTATATAATGGAACAAACTATACTGGTTACCAATCTATTAACAAAATGAATTACTGTTGGCTAATACAGTCACAATGCAAAGAATAAGCTAATCATACAATGAAACTGTTATAATAAGCTGAAGCGGACTATAAGAAGCAATCCACTTGTAGGCATTACTTAGAATAACAGATCAGAGATGTTAGTAAACATTTACACAGACATTGGATAACGAGAAAACTTAGCTGATCAGTTTCATTTACTATGGATATGCTGACATTTGGGAATAAGACACTGGGAATAAAAAACTCCATTACGTAAAAGGTTTAAAAAATCCAAATATATCCGGAGAACACGTGTCAGAAAATTGGAAAAGTCATGATGTAATAAGTTCACATAAAATTTTCTCATACATAGTTTACAGAGCAACAGTAAATTTAATGTCTCTTCCAGGGTGATCAAAAGTTTGATCAGTATTATTGGTTCTCAAACAAGACATACATCCAAAATATAAACTCCAGACGGTTTGAAAATAACCATATATATACTTGTTGAATAATTAGGACAAGTAGATTCACATGTTGATAGTTGCTGTTTTGCTGATAATGATGAGCTTTCGATTTGAATGCCGAATGCGATTCAGGAACCTTCACACTACCATTCTCAGATCATTCAGAAATCTGTTAAGTCTGCAGAATTTTCATTAAACGGTTATTTACTTTACGAGATAATTAAACATAAGATACTTCCAATGGCTTCAGTTTATGTCCAGTTTACTTACTACTATTCCTATAATTTCCTCTTGCGACCAGCCGGAGAACCTATTCATTTATTCTCATGAACAATTAAAAAGCCTTATGAGTGCATTGTATTATGTAAAAATGCAAAAAAATTTACAAAACACACCTAACATTGAGATCGATAGATTTTGTTTGGAAGTAATATATGGAAATTTCGGAAAATATACATAACTGTGACGGTAAACAACAACTACTACTTAGCACCTACTTTGGCAAACTTCATTTCTACTTTGCGATGTCATTTTGGTCAAGCCCGTTTCTATATAAAAGAAGCGTAACATCCAACGGGCACTTTTCTTCTAATTTCTTCATTTTAGCACTAGTCGCTGCACACATTCCATTTACTTTAGTGAGATCGTCTAGGGATGGCTCCATGTTAATTCCAAAATTTAACTAGCTATATTCTTTGGGAACCCTTGACGCTGAGTAACCTGTCAGCCTTTCTAGTAAAGGTATTAAATCTTCTGAAGCTCTATATCTTCAGAATTCACATTGGATTCAATGGCCTTTTTATGAATTCTCTGGTTTTCCCACAAATCAGTCCTTCAAATGCATTTGAAAAAACTATAATTTTTATATAATCCCAGTTTTAGCCTTTGTGTAAACTTTCGAAACTATTGTTCGTATTGTTGGTTATTTGTTGAATGGTATTTTAAAATTATGCGCACATCATTTTAACAATCTACTTTGATAATTGTCAATTAATCCATATATTTCATCCTCCAAGGATTTAATGTGGAAGATTACAAACTACCCTTTCGTCCCACCCAGTTCCCTTATGCTTATTTCAACAAGATGTAACGTACTACTGACCTATTTCTATTCAACTTGAATTTTTTTGATAAATAATGACTGAACGTTAGCTAAGAATACTAGTAAATAGTTATGAAACTTTCTAAAGAAGACCAATCGCTCATTCTATTTCATCCTACAATGTTAAGTTAAGATGTTTCGGAATGTCTTTGATCTTAATTCCAATGTTAATCAATACGAATATTGATGCACTTCTCAGACGTTTTGATGTGGACGACTGAAGTATTGTGATTACAGTGAAAGTTGAAATTTCCAAAAACTCGTAAACTAACCTCAAAAGCATTAAACGAATACCCCGACTGGTAAAACTAATATACAAATTATTATGGGATTTACATAACTTGTAGACCGTTTGCAAGCTTAATAACCTAAAACTGTAAGAAAACAATAAAATGACCGAAACAGAAACCAAGAAGAAACATTGTTTATATCGGTTCGTGGTTTTACAAGCAAAAACATAGAACACAATTAAGCTCAAGGAACAGTCCTTATATATCGAATCGGTTGGACAGAAGCATACAAAAGGTAAAATTGGGTTAAATCCTTCTAAATTAATTAATCTGTTCTGTCATATGTCAAGGAATTTTTCTTGAAATATTACTTGTTAGCTTAGGAACATGGTGTGTTGTTCTATACAAAGCCAGAGAAAACAGATGTGTAGATATTCAACAAGGATAAGTTTATGTTCAATGTACAGTTAAAAATCACATTATTATCTATTTAAGTAAGTGTCATTGAGATAAGCAGAAAATACTTTCACATAAATCATTATTTGTTTCAGTAACGTAGTATAGAATAGATCTTATCTCTTCATTGGCTAAACTTATGAACTAGGTCTATACAGTCCTTACTTACAAATTTATCACCTTTACTAGCATTTATTCGGAAGATATTTATGAATATCTGACATCATCTTCAAACTAAGCTCTTTATTTTCTTTCATTAAATGTATTTGCGAACTGTATGTATGAATAATCACTTTAGTCTTTTATTAAGTAATTTACGTCATTTGATCAATGAGAATTTGTCTACATGAAACTCTGTGTTTAGGTAGTATTTGATTCATCTAATTTAACTGATTTAAATCAACTCATGATTGACCTATCCTATTC